ACAGTTGAAAATAAGTGTATCGTAAAGTTGTATTCGGAAAGAATAAACCAGTTTTATTAAGTAAGGACTTGTGTCGCTAAAGTTTCGTCGGAACGAAGTTACGGAAAGTTAATTAACGAACGGAGACGTAACAACAAGAAGTATAAGTAAATTGTATAGTTATCAAATATTACACAATACTATTTTTAACTGCAGTATCTGAAATAGCTAGGAGAGTTTTAACTTTAATACCTACCCCTATTGCTTATCTCGTGAATATAGTTTGTTGAACATGCCTATCTCAAACAACATATTTAGATGAAGTTTCATTCTACGTTTTGTAAAGCAAAGATACAATATTCAGATTGAAGTGTTTGCAAGTATTGGTAGTTAACAATTTCACCTTTCCATAACAAGTAAAAAAATATATCAGATATATTCAAGTTGTTTTTCATAAATTCACAGATAGTTTTTCTTGGTTATTTATGCTAGTGATCGCGTGTAGTTGTCTGGCAACATAGTGGAAGTTACAAGTATTGTTCTAACTACCGGTGAGACCTTACCAGTTGGTTGATTGTGGTTATGCACAAAGCTACACAAAGGACTATCTGTTACAAGTTACAAGTATTGTTCTAACTACCATTGAGACCTGACCAGTTGGTTGATTGTGGTTATGCACAAAGCTACACAAAGGACTATCTGCGTTCTGCCCGCTACGGGTATCGAAACCAGGTTTTTAGATATGTAAGTGCGCAGACATATCGCTGTGCCATTGGAGGGCGTGAGGCCTAAAGCTAACGTAGTTTACTCTATGGTGATAAAGTGTTAGATTGTGATCACCTCTGAGTTTTGATGAAACTTATTGTGGAAATTTCTGAGATAAACTGTTGGATTACCACCATTTTATATTACTTTTCATGGCCTGCCTTTCCTTTTATTGATAACTTTATTAATCATTTATTTTTGTCTTTACCCAAACTATTGTCCTTTACGGGAACCAGCAACAATTCACCATTGTATAGCTTTGCACTCAAAACAAATAGTTATGTGCCCTTTTAAATTTAATTGTAGTTGATTGGTAAACATCTATAAACTTCTATGAATACCAAAACAAAACACCCTCTTTATATATATATATATATATATTCTATGTTATGAACTAAATTCAAAACAAAACTAGTATAAATGTTGATTTGCAATGTCCGGTGTTTAATAATGTAATTACATATTTGTGCTTCATTTTAAATGTTCCTACGTTATGATAACAAGATAAATGAAAATTGGTAACTTAAAAACTTACCAAATAGGGATCGTACAAAAAAGTAAGCAAACAAGGCTGGCGATGCTGTTTATCTTATAGCAAAGCCACATCGGGCTATCTGCTGTGTCCATCGAGGAGAATCTAACCCCTGATTTTGGCGTTGTAAATCAGTAGACTTACCATTGTCTCAACGGGGAACTAGAGATACTATAGACATTATTCACTCAAACTATAAATACCTATTTTAACTCCACCAAATATAATTCTAGGTAACAGCATGGAGCCAAAGTAGGGGTTTGTAGTTTGAGTAAATAATGTATACAGTTTCTTCAACCTTGTTTGCTTACTTCTTTTACAATTTCTATTTGCAAGTTTTTAAATTTCCAATTTTGTTATTTATTTTAAGCGGATTTTCTTTTTCTTGTAAGTGTAACATGCGTGATTTTCTGTGCATTTTTATATATGCATAGGCTTAGCAGCCCATAGTAAAGGTTTTAAAGAGTTGTTTGAACTGAATCTTTACTATTCACGGTGCTTTTTGCCCGAACATTCTATTAAAGTTTTGTGCAATTCCTTGCAATCCCTATTATTATCCCTTATTATTATTATCATGTCTACAATATCTCCACCTTTGTTTGCTTACTTTTTTACGATCCCTATTTGCAGGTTTTTAAATTCCCAATTTTTTATTTATCTTTTATGTATTCAAGATTAACCTCACTTATGTGAACAGTGTTTCAGGTGTTGTGCTGCTTTTTAAACTATTTCTCTGTTGTAGATCGTGTTTATTCTGATGGCCTTCGTTACTCACTATTACCCGACATTGTAATTTCCAGTGTAACCACTTCTGTGTGGGGTAAATCTTTAAAAAAATATTTTCAAACTTTCCACAAACACTCTAATGTATGTGTGTGCTAGTTTCCAGGACCATGTTTAATAAAACTAAAGACATAAAACCACTTTAGCTGGAGTGGGAGACCTTGGCGAGTATGTAGTCTAATAGAATTGTAATGACTCAGTATCTTCAGCCATTTTTCTCATGAAAAAAAAACGTTCAGTTGTAGTTGTAAGCTTTTGAATGCTTTATTCAGGAACCTTCGTTAACTTAAGATAATTTTATATTATATTGTTAATGTTACCAGGAGGAATACTAAGCTTTGTTTCATTGGTGTTTTAGATTAGTCCCAGCAACAATCTTTATTTTGCGGATGAGGGTGTGTTCTGAACAGGCTTATGGAGTGATTTTAGATTAATAGTCGAAATAGTTCTGTAAAAAAAAAAAAAAAGATTTTTCGCTAAACATGTCGACCGTGCAAAATGGGTACACAATTCAACTTAGTAAAGCCATTATGAAATTTAACTCGGTAATGTTCTAGGCAATAGGATACTGATCTGCAAAATGAGTTTAAATTTTCATCTTTGTAGGATCTCGAACATCAGTACTCCTGTAGTAGGTGGTCCAAGAGGTTTACGCCAGATGACATCATAAATAACTATTTCAGCTGCATTGCCAATGGTATGATAGATATAACTGTAACCATTTTATATTTCTTATTGTCAAATAAGGTTTTCAGAAATATTAGGTGTACATATATATATATATATATATATAAAACTTTTGATAATAAACTGAGAATATCAGAATGTAGTTTAATGGAATATCGCAAATGTATCACTTTAGTTTTTACACATATTAGAAAAATAAGCAATTTCGCAGGATTTTAAGGCTATGTGTTTGCTTCAGGCACATTCCACCTTTAGTTTTTCACTATTGAAAAAATGTACGAAAATGTTTACTAAGCATTTATTAAAAGATTTTTTAAAAAATAGTCCAGGTAATTTTAGAAAATAGTGTGAAATTCATCTTTATTTAATAGCTGAGGCTGGTCATTATTAAGTGCTGTAGTTTCCTTTAACAATACTGAAGCTGGAAATTGTTTTTTCTTAGAGAGCCGAAAAGTTAAGAAAGAAATTGACTGCAAATTGGATATACGTTATGGACCAAGATTGAGGGAGAAGATGGATGTATTTGGTTTACATAATCTCCCATTAGGTTAGTGTCTTTAAATATGTTATTATACTTACACATTTCTGACTATTTATCTACCTGTCTATTTGCTCTTCTGTATAAAATTTAATGTTTCCTTAACTGTGAAAAAGACAACAACATAATTCTATGCTTTGTTTGTCCGTTTTAGGCTATTACAGAATTTCTGTAAATAATGACGCGTGAAAAATAGAAGGTATATCCTATTTTTATAGTTGTAGTTTTAATAAGTGAACACTCCCTCACAGAGGGGGTATAAACAAAAATAGATCAGTTATTCAACACCTCTCATGAAAATGTTGATAGAAATCTGGATAGTAATAAAAAATAGTTAAGGTTAATTATTTAAATTACATACACAGAAAATTAGTGATAACAAACAAAAAAAAAATGCTGCTAAATTTAATAAAAATAAGATGTTCTAAACTGATAGACATAAAAAAAAAATATTATCATACCAAATCACGACATAGAATGTAGCCCTGAACACCTTGAGACTAGTATATCTTTAAGAGCATTTCTAATACAAATGGGTAGTCTGATATACTATTGAGGTGTTTGTGTAGGCTTCTCTCATTATTTTTTTTTCACACTTCCAGAAGCTCCAATATTTGTTTTCCTACACGGAGGTTATTGGGTGATTGGTAGGTAAGTTATAATAAAAAGTTTTGCCAAACAATGAGTCTAAAGATAGAAATATTTTTTTATGGTTTTGCAGTTATGGTTTTGGATAAGGCCGAGTAAAATTAATTAAATGTTATTTATTTTTTTTTAATCGCGTGCGTTAATTTTGTAATCTTCTGGAGAAATGTTTTCTTTCTTCTTCAAACAAATAGTTGTTTAAAATAAATATTATCCAATACGTGAATAAGGTGAACACCATAAATGTTTACTCTCGTTTAATGGTTCGTGAAATAACATAACTTTCTCGAGTTCCCTAAAAATCTGGAAAATTAAATTAAAAACTAACCATTCGGTGTTTTGATTTTCTTGTAATAACTAATTTTTTTTATGTGAAATATTGTTTTAGTATTTGCCAGATCCCTAGTGTTGTGTATGTTTGTTTATTTGTTGAATTTCGCGCAGAACTACACTAGCCTTTTCTACTTTTGAAGTGATAGAGAGGGTTTTCAGTTGAGGATTCGCACTAGCGACCTGTAGATTGAGTAGATGAAAATCACAATAAACTGGAGATATTTTTTTTTTAGCTTTAAATAATGAGCAGTTATTTCAATGTATCTAATAATTATTATGTAATTCCTACTTTATGCCCATCCTGTTTCAGATATAGAAATTAGTTATAAATATATCAGTACAGTACAAACACAAATTTGTTTTAACCTAATGTTTTATGAAATACAACGCGATGATTGGTTCTATTAGACACCACGAATATAAGTTTTGTATTTAAATGTTACTTAACTACTGTTTTATTTATATATTTTGGCGACCTCAAAAAGTTAAGCATACTTTTAAATTATTGCTATTTTTATTTGCGCCATTAGGTGGACTCTTAATTATAATTTACCTCTCCTTTTTATTCCATCAGAAGAGATTGTTAATGAAAACAAAATGATGTTTTGACGATTTGTTTGTTTGTTTGTAATTAAGCACAAAGCTACACAATGGGCTATCTGTGCTCTACCCACCACGGGTATCGAAACCCGGATTCTAGCGTTGTAAGTCCGCAGACATACCGCTGTGCCACTGGGGGGCTTGACGATTTGATTCGCTAGTATACTGTGCGAAGCATGGCTAGATAGATGTCAAAGATTAATGTTTTACCGCTGAAAGTTCTGTTGGGGTAATAAACTGTTTAGCGCAGCGATCATGGCTTAACTATGTTTATTAATTTTATTTATTTATTAATATTAAATCATACACTTAGAATCCACTGGTGGTTCAGCTATAAGCCGAGAGTTTATAATATTAGCATGAGGAAATCCTCAATAGCTGCGGCATTTGAAATTCTTTTAGGTAGGAGTAGAGTAAATTTATCCATGACACCGTTCTTTTCCTTTTTATTAGTTATATTTTGGTGCGCAAGCAATACCAAGCTTGGGGCGCGTTTATACCCGATTCGATTTTATTATTCATCAGGATCTCTACCAGCCTACCCTCAAATTGAATTTTTTTAAAACAGGATTAAAGTAAATTAATCTGCGTTACTTTGGACGTGGTCAAATATGCCAATCAAAAGGGTTTGACCTCCTGAGTCCAAAACTATAATTAGATCTCAAATCGGTCAAGAGATGACGAAGCCCTGAGCTAAAAGTTTGCACTTGATATAAAAGACAAACAAACTCGGAGTCATTCTATGAGCCTCTATGCTGCGGCTAAAAATCGGGGTGGCCACAGGGCAGGTAGCTCATTGTATAACAGAACATACACCTTTAACAATAGTGGAAGACCTGGCACTCGATTTGCAATCTAGGAGTTGCATGGTCAAATTTTGTCTCCTAAGATGCTTGTCCTTTCAGCCATGGAGGCATTATAATGTGACAGTCAATCCCACCATTCTTTGATAACGGAATGCCAAAGAGTTCGAGATGGTTAGTGTTGACTAACTGCTTTTCCTCCAGTATATATTGGGGACGGTTAGCGCAGATAGCCCTCGAGTAGCTTTGCGCGAAATACAACAAATTAAAAAATACTTTTCATTTTCACTGAAAATTATTAGTTAAGCAAGATTTTATCTATCCAGTAGCATAAAGTTTTCCTAAGTACATGCTGAAAAACTGTAATGATATCGTAAATGTTTATTTTTGTCTAATAAATCATTCAATTTAAAATTAAATGAACTAGTTTGAAACGAACTATTTAAATTATTAACAGCGGTCATAAAAACTTTCATTATTTTTTCAGTCTGGTCTAAAATTCAATATCTACAAAATAAAAACAACTATAGACCATGTTGTACTGTTTATGGCTTGTTGCTTAACACATACAAATACTTTGTACGTGTACCGCTGGTTTTTACAGTCGAGAAGATTCCAGTGTCTATGTTTCTCCCCTGCACCATTGTGGGATAATCTGTATTACGGTTGGCTACAATCTTGCCCCAGAGGGTAAGTATTCCTTTCTCAAAATTCTAACAGACTTCAGATGAATACCCAAGTGTCTTTTTTCTTTGATACTGAGTGACTAGTGAGTCGATGAAATAACCAGACGTTTAATGTCGAGCAATCATTATACCCCACCTACTTTCATAGTTTCTGTTTACTTTGCCTTTTTTATAATGAAGCATTAGAAAAGCGTTATACGTTGTCCGAGAAGTTCGTGTAAGAATGTTCTCATTTGCATTTCCAGTGACAATTGACGTTATTATTGATGGGGTCAGAAATGCAGTGAATTTTATTCTTTGGTTGGCTGCTCTTCGGGGATCAAAGTGAGTTTACCAGTTTTTCTGTTACCTAACGTAAGATATAATATAACGTAAAAGCAACGAACGCTTCCTTGTCTGTCTTCTTTTATATTCACCTACGTTATATATTTTTCAAATACATATTCTACGACATAACATTTATACACCTATACATCAAATGACCTAAGTTTGTAATAAATAAAATATTACGTAAAGGATTTATGTACTGAAGTAATTACGTAAAAACTAACCGAAATACTGAAAAGTTACCTGTAATTCAAACAGAATTCTTATTATCTACTGTATTAATAAGCAGTTTTGATATTATTCTAAGAAAACGACTTAGTAAGCTTGAATTTATGATTAACTACTTACAATAATTTTATGGCTTCTAGTCTCTTACTGTTCCTGCTTGAGTTATTTCGAAAATTTCAAAAAATCTCGAGACTTCCAATCTTTAATATTTTTGCTTGAGATTAAAATAACCTTTTCTATAATTTCTCGTTTAGTGTATTTAATTGGTATTGTGTTAATTTCAGGTGAACTAATTTCTTACAGGTAAGAATAGGGACGGTAAAAAATGTATCAAAATTTAACTGAATGTCTAACCTTACTGTCTTGAAGAAGAGAGATAAAACACTTTGTATTAGGTCGCCAAGAAATTAATCTCGCTTTTTTTTAGATGAAAAACCCAAACAACTTGAAAATCAAAACAAAACATATATTAAATGAAATAGTCTCCATTCTTATTGATGATG